CCCCCGGGGACGTCATCGGGGACCTCTCGAGCACGGCGACGACACCCCTCACGACAACTCCGATTCAGCTCAAATTTGAATTGCCTGGGTTTTCAGACACGCTGATTTCGAATATGTTAGCGCTGAGGTCATCCGGGCCCCCGGGGACGTCATCGGGGACCTCTCGTGCACGCCGACGAGCTTAATCAGAGTTGTCATGAGGGGTGTCTTCGGCGTGATCGGGAGGTCCCCGATGACGTCTCCGGGGCCCGGATCGGCCCGGATGACCTCGGGCACTAACAGATTCGGTCTCAGCGTGCCAGAAAACCTACGTTACACGAAATTTGAATCAGACCGAGGTTGACGTTCGGTCGGTCAAACCGTACATTACTTTGACAGCCTTCTGACCCGAGCCGTTGGCAGCAGGGCCGAGATGGTGGTGACGCCAAGCATCTGGGTGTACGGCCAGTCACACGAGCAGGCGGGTCGTGCCAGGCTGCTGCTTCACCAAGATGTCAACAATGGCCCCGAGGTCCGAGGCACGAACTCTAGGTTCCTAAAGACGAGCGTTGTTACTCTAGGTCCCCAGTGGGTCCAGGCGCAGATTAATGTTTAACTGACGGGGGAGAGGGGGCACTGCCGGTTAGGGTGTAGTGTACTCAGCCGACTTTTGAATTTTAAAAACGGGCCCCCCTCACTTCAAGCCATTTTCGATGTAGTTTCCGGAACCGACCTTGTTTTTTCGCTGAGACAAAAACTTCAGGTTCCTACCTCGCCTCAAAGTTGAGAAATTTCAATATTTTGCACTAAAATCGAATAATTCGGGTATAAAATATTTCAAAGCAGTACAGAGACGCTTCGTGAGTGGCATATGTTACTTTTACATCTAAAAAAGGTTTGCCACCTGTGACCGGCCATGGTAGAACCGTTTTAGGCCGTTTTTAAGGCGACATTTGTATAAAATTACTCAAAAAACGCTCCAAATCGTTATTTAATCCGGCTCTGGGGCCAGGATACGGGTTCTGGGCAGTCCGGGGGTGGTCTTACGGATTGTCTGTAATCACCAGAAGGTAAAACAGGGGTGGGCGAGTTTTCCGACAGCCGTAGGCTGTGGGAGGGGAGAAGATAGGGCAGGAACTGGGGCGCAATTTCAGGAAACGGATGAGGCGCCGTGTGTGCAAGCCAATGCATTGTCATTTTGGGAAAGGGTAAAGTTCGACGCGTCCTAACAACAACGTTCTATCTACAGCACGTCATTTTCACAATATCCTATCTACAGCGCGTCATTTTCACAATGTCCTATCTACAGCGCGTCATTTTCACAATGTCCTATCTACAGCGCGTCATTTTCACAATGTCCTATCTACAAAGGGTCATTTTTACAATGTTCTATCTGCAAAAAGCGCGTTCCGAGATATGCAGAGATGAATGTTTAGAGCTCTGTATCAACTCGGCCAATGATCCTACATGGCTGGCAGTAGGCGGTATTGAATCTGTAGACCTTCTAAATTCCGCCAGTGTATTTATATTTGCGCTGAGGCAATCCGGTCCTTTGCAGTGGCGACGCCACTTAACCGTATACTCAGTTGACTAATGTACTTTCCCTGGTCAGCTGCGACAGCCAAACCTGACAATGGAAGGAATGCATGTACAATGTAAGTAATGGCTTAGTTAAGATTAAACAACGTTTGCTGATAAATAAGTTTGTTTTTTAATTCCTTTGTAGCGTTTTTCGGCTAACGGAGGAAGAAAAATAGCGGATAGAACATAAAGGTTTGGTGGAGCCTTTACCCTACGCCTACCGGTGTGCTGGGGAGGTCCGTGATGACGTCCCCGGGGGCCCGGACGACCTCGGCACTGCCCGATTCGGACTTAGCGTGTGCGAAAACCCCCGTACTTCAAATTTGAGATGAATCGGAGTTGTCATGGGGGTGTCATCGGCGTGCTCGGGAGGTCCCCGATGACGTCCCCGGGGACCCGAACGACCTCGGCACTCCATATTCGGCCTCAGCGTGCCACAAAATGCCTCTACCACGAAATTTAAGTTGTTCCGAGGTTGACGGTCGGTCGGTCGGTCGGTCGGTCCGGTCGGCCAAACCGTACCTCATTTTGTCAGCCCCCCCCCCCCACACACACACACACACTCGTTGCTTGCCGCTAGTACGTTCTGCTGCCGCATCGCCTACCAGGCGCGCCGCGCGATTGGAGTAGATACACTACTGTACGCGGGACATACGAGCGCGCTCTGTAGATAGAATACTTGCAAATCCCCTTAAAAAGGTACTTTGGGATCAAAATTTCGGAAAATTTCTTGGTTGTACCTGTAGAGGCGCACGTCACGACCTCAAAACCACTCATAACTCAATTTATTAAAAAAATGTCAGTTAGAACATTGTGAAAACGACCCTTTGTAGATAGGACATTGTGAAAATGACGCGCTGTAGATAGAACATTGTGAAAATGACGCGCTGTAGATAGGACATTGTGAAAATGACGCGCTGTAG